TTGTAATAATGAATACTGTTAATTATGACGTCTAAGTACATTTTGAATAAGTACGGTTTGACAGACCGACTGACAGCGAAAAACAAAACTATCAGAAAAGTCGAATACGTTATTCTTGAGAAGTTCCTCTTAATTAGCCCCCGGGGTCTCATTTGAATAAAACCACAATTAACTTAATTTAACTTGGCCGAGAGGTCATGGGCTTAACTTCCACCCCATGGCCACGCATTTTACAAATCTCTTGAACCGGTAAAATAAACTTACTTAAGTAACTCTCGATTATTTCATTTCCGCATTCATAAATGAATTTTCTTATTAACTTTTCATCCAGAGAGAGAAATTTGGTTTATTCACTGCCGGTTAAAAACAGGGGCAAAACTTGCAAACTCGGTCGTCAGATAATTCAGAAGAGTAACGGAAACTTAATACAAATCCTAGCGAAAAAATGTATAATGAATACATTTGATTGTTCAGTCAGCGCATAGATTTGGAAGTTATAATAGTAGTTAAACGCACAATGTCGATTTTAAAAAATGCGAATGTTTTAGCTCAAATTAAATCCAGTATATGTTTATTAAAGGAAATATTACAATTATGCATTACACCTCTGGAAGAGTACAATGTTTGAATAGTCCTTTCCATTTCACGCCAATTCATGCCAAGAGAATTATTACCACTGGTGTGACGTTCTGAATATTGAATAACAATATTGAACTTGTATTATACTGAAATTTATTAATCAATGGTGATAATTGGAATACGAGTCTCAACGGAACGGTCCTTTTCATCAATTAATATTGTTAATGGGGATAAACCCCTTCCCGAGAAGGTGTTGGGCGAAAATTAAATACCCATCAGGTTTGTAATCACTTTGAGAGAATACCGTCGCTCAGAATATGTGGAAAAAAATAACGTTCTTGTTCTTGTTGCTTTACGAATGATCAAGTCATTAAACAAATATAGAATACAACAGGTTAAGTATCAATATAATTAGAAAATTTAACCTAAAAAGCGATTATTGTTTACGAATCCTAAATGAATTATAAATACATGAGCGAACGTAATTTTATACATTACAAAGTAATAAATTTTACCAAAACAAGAGAATTAGTGATGTTTCTTCCCTGTCCTCCAATACCGATTCAAATCTATTTTAAAAATAACTTCACTGGTTTTCGTGGTCCGCTTGACCAATTAATATTTTTCAATTAGTTAAGGTTTTTATCTCAACTAAAAACCTTAAATAATTTAAAAATAACGTACCCCATGTCAAAACCAAGGAATTTCATGGAAAAGATATCTCAACAGAGAAGTTTTAGACAACTATGCGGATTTCGAATATTAAATACTCATCATCATAGGCTTGTGAGCCAATTGAGAGAAGTGTTTGCATCTTCCGCCAGATGATGAGTAATTTGTTTGATTGTTTCTGCTTGGATATCCGTCATCGGTATTACCTATGGCCATCGGGTGAAGCGGTCTACCATTGGGAGGCAGTATTGGTGAAGATCTACTTCAGAAATGATTCTGTAGAAGTATGATCTTCAACAATACTGCCTCACAATACAAACTAGCGACGCCTCGCCAATCCGTACTCGCTACCTGAGCTACATAGCGCAATTTACGACGGACATAAGGTACATCAAGGGAGAGGACAACCCATTAACCGATGCTCTCTCCCGCCTAGATGAGCTTGATACTTCCACCGGATTGGATGATCTCGCGATGGCACAGCAAGCGGAAGAAGAAAACGGAAGCCTTCCCTCTGGAGGATCATTCAAGTTGGAGAGGGTCAGGATCCCGGGCTTACTCACAACAGTGTTATGCGAAACAACTTCGCCAAGCCCACGACCCTACCTTCCGCCGGCTTTCAGGAGGGTGGCTTTCGAACGGGTCCACAACCCAACCCACCCAGGAATTAGAAGGAGCCGTCGAATGGTCACGCAACGCTACTTCTGGCCTGGAATGAATTCAGACATCGGACGATGGGCAAAAACCTGTGCCTCTTGCCAGAGAGCGAAGGTCACGAGGCAAACCATCTCACCTCTCGGATCGTTTCCAAAGTCCTCCCGGTTCGAGCACGTCCACATCGACCTAGTCGGACCTCTTCCGCCTTCTGACGGGAAGGTAATACTGCCTCACAATTGTAGACCGCTTCACCCGATGGCCAGAGGTAATACCGATCACGGACATCCAAGCAGAAACAATCGCCAGAGCCGTCGTCGACCACTGGATTTCAAGATTCGGAACACCCCTCCGCCTGACATTCATTTACCAGTTTGAGTACTTTTTTCTAGCACTAATTGTACGTAGCATATTGGTATATAATTTGGTCTTTTCCAGTTACAATACGGCAAGCGTAATACTGGACAAGCCCCAATGCAATTTCTTAATAGATTCGATAGGTTTCTATCTAGATACGATCATGGATGACCTGTATCGTAGAACGAATTATGATTTAGAAGAAAGGTTAAAACCAGAGTGGAATGTATAAAACAATACACTAGAGTGTATAATTCCCTTATACATGTAATTGTTGACGATTCATCAACAACTGTTTTTGAACTTTAAAAGTTAAAAAAAAACATGGGTGTCTTTTCTATTAGTTTCTTATTTGTTCCATCTAAATTATTCGACAAGTTAATTCACAACATAATTATTTCCGTTGCTACTTCGAACTACATCTTACCTGACCATCAATTTGCTTTCGAGAAAGTACCGCATGAGGAACTATTATACAAATTAGATCTATTTTTTACCCCAGGCCTATTATCTGATTATACAATCATACCACAAGGATTGATTTTTTGTAGAAAACCAGGGATCGAAGATTTCTGAAAAAAGTGCTGCAAGTGTGCCATCGCTCCGCTGTTGAACACGATTTTACTTCTTAAAAATGAGAATGCACTTACGATCACACTAACACAAATTACTCGGTAGATGACTGAAAAGGATACGGATAATGATTGGATATTGAAGAATATGGGTAATGAAATATGGATGAATGTTTAATATCATATTATTAATACAGCTGCCAATGTGCACATCTTTCTCTACAAAGCTAGAAAGGTGACACACACAAATTGAAATCCAATTTGATGGTTGTGTACATATAAAGTTTTAAATGAAAGTAAATGGAGTAAAAGAAAACTTGAAACCTTTATTGGACATGAAAACTAGTAAACCAAGTAAAAGGCAAAGAAATATCATTATTGAAATATGCTGAGAGAACTTAAAAATTGTCTTTTGTGCAACGTACTTGAAATTGAAATTATACATTGGTATTTTCATACTATAGAAATACTATTTCAAATATACTTTACAATTATGTTAGCACTTTTTAATATTGCTCTTTACTTGATGAATAAAGTAGAAAATCTAATCAAGTGAAGAGGCAATCAAAATATCCAACAGGACTAAAATGTAGATTTGCACTTTAACTGAATATTTTATTGTTACTACCTTTTGAAAAAATCTCGAATAATTTAATCTTGACTTAAATATCACGCCTAAATTCATATTGAATATAATTTAAATTACTCCAAAGCAAAACCTTTGATAGAAGTTTATAAATGAAAAAGTCTAGTTGCTAATTTGACTTGGTATACGTTTTTCGACCCTCTAACATTTTTCTAACTGATGCGTGAGAAATTCGGACTTTTGGGTTTGAAAATAGAATGCGAAAACACGATTTATATTCAAATAATGAATCTTGAACATCGTCACCTCGTTGAAGGATACACGGGCTATAGATCACGTGAACAGGGCCAACATTGCCATGATGGTGGGAATATATATTTCTAAGCTTGTCACCTGTCCTTTCCACACGACACTGCCTGTCTGGTTGGAATCCATTGAAAACAGTGACCCACGAGGTCCTGTCGCGAAGAAAATTGAAATTCTTAACTTTATTGATTTTATCTCTCTGCTCGGATTTATTATTTAAATCGCACTAGAATAAATCACTCTAGATAGAGAACCAATGTTCAAAATTTGTTTAAACCACCTAATTTTTCTTCTTTATGTAACCTATTTTCTTTATTTAAAGCTATAACATAACTGGCAAGGTGCATTTGCACTGTTTGGTCTTTCACTGCGCAACTATAACATTTTTCAGTAGTCAATTACTATTAATTTGTTTATAAATGTACACCACTAAGGAAGGCACAATGCCTAAAGTTATGCGGACGTCTGATTTTGAGCACATTCCTGACCCCAAAACATCCGCATCTAAAACAATTTAGTTGCCATTGGGATTAGTTTATTGAATAAGTATTGATGCTCAAAACACAAATCCAACAGTTCAAATTTGACTTTCGAAATTTGGCCTTGTGGTTTGTTGTGTGTTTAATATAATCAAATAAATAAATAAATAATTTATAAAATGTGGAATAGCCGGAAATAGTATTAATTTCGGAAGTATTTTTATTAACAGTTTTTTTTTCTTTTTTTCCGGGGGTCATTCCAACCCGGGACCCACAATAATGAGTGGTCGTGTCAACGTCAACCACCGTCGCCACAGACGCTCATATATATAATTATTTGTTCTACAATTACTTTTCTATTTCCTATTTTTGGTATATTTCTTTTTATTATAGCCACTAGTTGTTTTCTAACTATTGTACAACGAAGAAAATAATACTTTCTTCTGAACGATTACTGTCATATATGATATTATACTTATTAAACTCACTTATTTTCGTGTTCCGTTTGACCAATTAATATCTTTCAATTGATTAAGGTTTTTACTTGAGATAAAAAAGTTAGTGTCACGAGCGGGATTCGAACCCACGACCTTCGGCTTGATACGCCGCTGCTCTACCACTTGAGCTATCGTGTCTTCGAACCCCTCGGGCACTGACTTCCCATCTCAGCCCCACCTTTTGAATTTTCCCTCCTTTTTGCCATTTTTCAAATGTCGTCTAATCTATTAGACTTATTGTTAGAAATGTCTTTATGTTTAGTAAATTTGATTACATCAATTTATCTTTTTGTTTCAGGAATGAAACCGAAAATGAAGAATCACTTCAGAGCCCATCAGTTGTCGGTGTGGCTCAGGCTGATTCCAGAATTACACAGGGCGGGCATGGAAGACGTCGTCGCTAGGCACAACTTGTTCCGAAATCACAACGACGACGACTTGTACGACGGGATCGTGAGGGCCGATCCTCTGTCCAGGAACGGCCTGAAAGCTCAAGAAATGCAAAGGAGATCTGGGATGAACGGAACAGTCGCCGAGGTACTGCTGCCGGTCACGACCATGGAAACGATGGTGACCACATGCGTCAGTGTACAGATCAACCAGGGCTACGTCAACCAACACGTCTCCAACACGACGGACACCCTTGCCAGCTTAGAGGCGGCCGGCTACGCTGCGTATTCCACCGCGCTGAGCGTCACTATCGCCATCGGATGCAGCCTCCTCATACTTAACATTCTCATATTCGCCGGGGTCTACTACCAGAGGGACAAGACGAGAATGGATGTGAAAAACATGCAACAGAGGGTTTCAAGTTTCGAGTCAGGGAAAAGTTTTCCCCCTTCGGCCTCGGTGATCGTAGACGTGGACGATTCCGTGATCCTGACCGGCGGGACTCTGCCAAGATCGCACGCCACCGTGGCGCAGCACCATTCTTTGGCGACTCTGCCCAGGCAGGTGAAGACGGCGGAAATGCCGCCAAACGGCTCGGCCGGTCTCCACCTACCGCGTCCCCCGCCACCACCCAGGAACAAATCACCCCCGGAATCGCAGCCACTTCTGAACCAGGACCCCGGTAAACAAGGGAAACCGCCCCTCAGGGTGCCTCAAGCTGCCATTTCGGAAATGAGGGTCTGATAAAGCTCATCTTTCCTTCTAAACGTGCTAAATGTTTCGATTTTGTTTTCCTTACGAGTACCCGTTTTCAAATATTAATGAAGTTTCATGAAACAATGAAAACCATGACGTAAAACAGAAAGTTTTAAAATAAATTTTACTATTGTCTCACCGATGTACGAAAACTCATACTAAAAAGATACGACAATAAAATGTTTTAGTATTTTTGTTCAACAAAGTAGGACTTGATATTCAAATATTGGGTTAAAACGAGTGTAATTTTTCACGAGTTCTTAAAGTTATCTACGAAATAATCGTATTTTATCTACAGAATATGTATTATTGATTAAACAATTGTTCGTATTTATATCTGGAGTTAGTAGATTCCATACTATTAAGGTTTTAAAACACAATATCAAAATTTAAACATATGCTGATTTATTGTTTTGGAAAACAGGTTTATAATATCCAAATCAAAGTTATACCGTTTTAGGATGATATAGCAATGTACGGATAAGTAAGTAGACAATCAAATATTTGAATATTTTAAATACATACGTTTTTTTTTTTTTTAAATTACGGACATGAAATTTAGACTTTTTCATTTTGCCAAACTTTGTTGAACTTTGGTAAAAGCCAAATGGAAATACGTAATTATTGAAGAGCCAATCGATCAGACATTGCAGTCTAATTTATCCTAATTTTATTCCCGAACTTCTAAGTTAAAACTTTTATTCGGTTAAGATTATGTTACGACGATGATGTTTCATTAATTGAAAAACTTTGATTACATTATTATTTCGACAATCCCTATAAAAAGAAGGTTGCAAATAAAATATTAACTCTCCGATAAAAGGAGTCATATTTCAATACGTTTGCTATTATTTTCGTAAAATAGTATTAAAACAATAGCGATAATCATAACTTTAATTAAATTCCCTAACTGGAATTTTTTGGAAGAGTGATATAAAATTTCCGAGATTCCATTACTCTAGGAAAGAGATTCTATTGAAGTCATGAAACTCGTTTAATACTACACTGAAAGCATGTACTCGATGGACAAGCATTCGTCCTAATAACCTCAAAACAATTTTATTTATTAAAAACATAGAAAGTCTAGCTTCTAAACGTTGAATTTGTTACCAATAGAGTTACTGTATAAAAAGTCGGTTTATATTATTGTAAATAATGTGAATAAAGGACATCAGTTTGGCCGGGATGATTTGAGACGCCGACAGCGTTTGAAACTTTGCATGATCCAGAAAATGAATGGTCACACTCAACGATATGTACATTGTCTCTTATTTGAAAACGTATTTTTTCGTGTAGAGCCCAAAATTTAATAAATATAATTGTACATAAACTAAAAAAACAGCATGAAATATGCACAAAGTGATACGTAAATTACAAAATGGAAAATAATAACAGAATGTATCGTAGTGACATTTCACGTCTAGCCAATATGTTAAATTATTTGTGTTAATGATTTTTACCAAAATGTTAACAACTGTTCGATAAATATATTTTATTCATCTGGGGATATAATTTTCAACGTAAAAAAAAGCGTACTACATAATTATATAATATTACAAACATTATAAAATTTCATAGGTCGTATAAAACGAAAATCTATGTAAATATCGATATTTTAATTTGGATTTCATTTTAAACATATTATTGTTGTTACCTAAAAATTAAAGGAATATTTATAATAATATGTTTAAATTCATATTAAATGTATGAAATTATGTATTGAGATTGTTCTTGGAATGAACTGTTGTTTAAAAAAATAAAAGCCATCTATTTGTACTGTGTTTTACTTCCTTTACGAACCTTTATCATTTATTAATTACTATAGTTTCTGTATTGCCTTGTCCTATTTTTTCAACAACCTAGAGTAATTAATTAATGCAATTTGTCACTGAATGTGATGTTGGAATCAAAGAAATGCCACCTGAATGCATTGTAGTGTTAAGATAAATAAATCGTGTTGTCTCATTAAAATAAACTATACATGTACATATATATATATATATATATCGCTTCTGTCGTTTGGAGCCATCTGACCTTTGGAGGAGTCAATTTACATAAATTCACCGACATATTGGGATGATCGGTTTCTTGCAATCCTACTAAAACCTTAACACCAAATTTAAATGCCAATTGTTCGTTTCAATAAATAAATATTATGACCATCATAAAAGGTTCAAAAAAGTCATTTTTTTATCCATGGATCCGTCAAGAATAAAAATAATATAATAAAATAACGCAGAACATTTAATTCGCCTTTTTTGGGCAATGCAACATTGTTACAATGAACATAGGCGTGGTACTATGATAATTACTGAAATCCCCCAATGACGCAGAGTAAGTATAAACATTTATTAAAAGTTTTAATATTAACAAAACAAAACGGTTGTTGAAATGAACCAGGACAGAAGTTCAACAATAATGTCTTCCAGGTTCTTGTAAGTGATCGGATGAATCTAGTTCAACTTAGTCTCTTTTGAGTAATGTCTTGTATTTATAAAAAGGTGAATATTGTTTTACCACTTTTACCCAGGTGTTTAATTTGCAAATTTTAGCCCATAGCGTGCAATTTACCTTAACTTTGTTTGTGTTCAAATGAAGCTAATAGCCTAAACAAAAAAATGGAGAAAAAGCACCTTATGAATCTTTTCGCTCTTAAGAGCTGATGTGATAAACGACTGCACTGGAATTTAAGTTTAAAGAGAAATGCTTTTCATCGTGGTGTTTTATCCCCTCAGATATACCCCATGCAAATCGATGTACTAAAGTAACGATCTTTTTTCGTCTTAAACAACATTTAATACACATATAGTTTGTCATTTGCTTCAAAATTTTGTAAAATTTCAGTTCATACAGTCGATTCAATTCATGCTGTTATTATCACGCTAACGCAAAGTTTAAACAGGAATTTCTCCCTGGGAAGAGAACGTTCAGGAAACCTGATGACCTCGTAAACTTTAATAGAAAAAGATAGAGATAGAAACCCTTATCGCGACAATGGCAAAAATAAGTTAGTATCTTCTGGCACATAGTTTAGCCGTCTTTGACTTCTTTAGTCCACATTACTAAATTTACAAAAACTCCTTACTAAATGGTTTTTAAATGATTCGTAGTGATGATGACAAATCAGGTGTCCAGATAAAGCAATTAAGGGAAGTTTAAAATTTTTTATAAATGTTTGACATCTTCTACATTCAGAGCAGCGTGCATGATGCATGGATGCAAATTCGAAAATATTACCATCAGCAATCTCTTTTATACATCACAGACTAATGTATAATAAATAACTGAAAACCCAATATACTAAATAAAAACATGATAAACAAAACCACATAAAAATGAAATTAGAATTTATTGAATAAAATTAAACTTCATTTTTCATGACTACACTTAGGGCCCGTTGCACCACTTTGATTAAAAATGAGTTCAACTCAAAAACTAACGTTTTTTTATTTATCGTGAACCTAGTTCAAACGATGAACCTGATTTGAACTACCGTCGACGTGTGTTAAACGTGTATTTCACAATAATTTAATCTGTGTGTGGTTAAAGGTGTATTCTCACGATTCAACTTTCCATGTTTTTTTTTTTTTTTTTGGTTCACACGCTTCAAAACCTTCGTTCGTTCTTAGTCTAAATGATTCCAGTCGTCATAATTATGCTTATATACGCAGGAAAAGTAAATCCGACAATTTGTATTTTTTCGCGATACAACTCAACGTATATTCATTAATTTCGTGGTCCGCTTGACCAATTCAACGTATATTATTTGGCATATTTATTTATACTCATGAATTCTTGAAATCATTAGGCCGAGAGTTCACAATATCATAAAGTTTGTGCCAAAGACCTTAATTTTGCCATAGTGTATCCGTTAATTTCCTTTTCTTTGGCAAAAAATACAGCATTTTCCCTCTAATCTGAATTTTTAATTTATTAGATAGTTTGTTGATTACTTTCACGTGATAAACATTAATGCCAATGAAGCATAATGACATTGCCGGGAAATCCGAGGCAAAATGCAAATTCTTTATTTTGCAATAACAAATCGGTCAATTTAATAGGCAATATTATTAAAATAAATTCTAATCATTTTAGCATTATACTTATTGTCCACTAGAGGCTCGGTTATTCGCTTTAACAATTTTATCAACAACAACAAAAAAAGTGCTAAAAAACTACTTGAACTATATTTGAACATCAAAAGTTAAATCTTGAGAACGCACGTTAATTGGACAAACAGTGATCCTTTCTCAGCCGAAATGAGGGATATTCATATTAAAAGAACCGTATTTATTTTTACGTAAGTAATCGTTTATAGATACAATGATTACAGGACCCCCCCCCACCCTAAGATTTTGTCCCGGTATTCACACCGTGGTGAGTCGCAGTGACAACTCCCTAAAAATGACGTCATTGACTGCCTCTTAGTAGCATGGGGCGCACTCGAATTGATACTTAATAAAGTATATGTAACCTAATCAATCATTGCTTGATTTAAGCTGTGTGCGCAAAAAGTGGTTTAGTGTGGTTAGTACTGTTGTTTAGGTCTAGAATTGTTTAAAATCACTTAAATTCTTTTATCGAAATTTGAATAATTATTTACCCAGTAAACGTTTAAGAAATAGTTAATTATAACTTTAAGAAAAATAGAAAATCATAAACATTAAAAAATAAAGATTAGAGTAGTGCGGAATGGCCTAAGAAATATGATAGATTATATCCATCATGAGTGGTGCACCTTCTGGTCTACGACAGCCAAAGGGTGCCCACAAGGTGTGGGTTCTTTCACCCCTCCTGTTGACACTGTTAGATGCAATCCTACAAACACTGGTACAGAAAAGATTCTACTGGCTAGGCTATGGGGATGACCACGGAGCACGTGGTAAAAGGCCCCCTATGCAGACGTCGTGATGGCCCGTGTGGAGCTCTCAAGCGGATGACCGGTGGTGTAAACGAGAGGATGCATTAACCTCCAAAAAACCTTAATGATTCCGTTCACAAGAAAAAGACGATAGGAAGCCTAACAACTCCACGCTCTCAAAGGGAGCCAAATATATAGGGATCACACTAAACCAGCGGCTCACGTAGAACTCACATAATATAATTAAAACTACTCACAGATGCAAAATTGGCTGGGAGAGGTACAGACGGCACTGTGCCAAAATCTGGGGATTAAACCCCAAAATTATCCTATGGCTCTATACCTGACCAATCTAGACGTATGTCTCGGTTATGTGATGGACTAATCAAAAGGAATCATGCCATGTCACTGGACTCACGCCAACTACGGCCCTGGAAGTTTGTTAAACCTTCCACTACTTCATCATTTATTCTAACGAGAACACATCAGCGGCTGACATGCTCATAAATGGCCAACCATCTGCAAGGATAAGCCATGTCAATGAACAATGTAAACTAAGGTACGAGATACAGGTAGATGCCATACTAGGTTACTAGGAATACCAATCGATGACACTACTCCAAAATATAACCTCACCAACACGTACAAGAACGGAAAGAATGGGTGAAAGGAACATCTCCAAAGTCACAAGAGCTGGAGTCTTGGGATGGATCCGAAGGCAGACCTGACTTTAAACTTAATTAAATAATACAGTCGTATATAGACTTATTTAAATACGCTACAGTTTTTCAGACTGAAATCATAGCAATTGAACACTGCGCCTGAAAAAAGGCTAGAAATACGCTCTCCCAATATAACCATCTTCTCTGATATTCAGGCAGCACTTAGCCTGATGCGAGATGAAGTTATGTGTA